GAACAAACAGAAAGGGACTGAAAATACCCCCAGAAATAGATTACATAATGCTTTATTAACCTTGAATTTTCTTAACGCTAATGAGAAAGGAACGACAGCAGCAGAAAGACATTGGATAATGGAAAAGTCTGCTGAACTAAATCAACCGATTTATTTCAAAGATGTGCTGACCTCTCAGTGGAAGCCAGGAGATGTGCTACGTTGGGGAAGGGGTTTTGCTCTTGTTTCCACAGGAGAAGAAAAATTGTGGATACCATCAAAATTAATAAAGTTTCGATTTGAAGAGGAGAAACCTCTTGGAAAGGAGAAATGACAACTCATCCACAACGATGATATTCATACAGGTGGTAAGAAAAACATATAGAATGGGGGCAGGGTTCTGTTCTTATCTCCACAGGAAAACACTCATCTTTGAGAAATTCAAGGGACCCTGGATGTTTGGATACTGACAGATGGAAAAATACCTGCCCAATAGGAAATATCAAAACAACTGAATGGGTTGTGTAAGTAATATTAAACCATATTTCTAAATTTATAAAGCTGGTTTTGAAGTTGGACTCTGGCTCAGTCCCTCTCCAATTCCAAGCCTGTTAGTAAGAGAAAAACCCAGAGTTTCTGGAGTTTCTGTCTCATGTCAAGAGCCATGATATGGGACAGAAAGAAATATGAGTTTAGAAAACATCTTTGCTTTTCTTCATATCTATCATACTTTTCATTGAATATATCTATCATGTCTTTCATTGAATATATATATATATATGTCTATATATGTCTATATGATTAATGTTTAAGTTTTTCATAATGAACAATGAGTTTTTCCTGAAGTGACATTTGAAGTTTCCAGGAAGAAGATGGGGCCCCATAACAACAACTCCACCTGGTTGATATGACGTTATGATACTGATAGCGCTACTACAAGACCTGCTTTGGGTACCAGCTGCACAAGACAGTTCCAACTTGGTTAGCTGAAATGGTGCACATCTTATACAACATTTTGGCCAGACCTGCACGAAAATACTCAGAGACTATTTGCAATTTTAAAAGACATTATCTTGAAATTTAACCATCATTTTACTTTCACAGGATCCCCCAGAAAGAACGTCGCCCCTATGACAGCTGGAAGTAATTCTAGAGAACGACGTCCCCTCTCCCAGTAAAGTTTGCCCTTGGGTTTAGGGACATCATTTAGGGGTTGATTATAATTAGTATACGATTGAGGGTTGGGGGAGGAATTTTATAAGCTCAGGGATCATTTTGAAAAAAAAAAGAGGGATGATGGGATAATAGACAAATATATTGGTATAGATTCTTGTATATTGATACAAAGTTAAATTATATTGACTATTGTACGCATGCATGTTTCTACCTCTGTTTAAAACATTTTTATGTATTGACATATATTGTATTGATATATATATTGTATATATTTACCATATTGCAGTGTACATTTCTACCTCTGATTAAGATACTTATATAATATTTGTGTATTGATATATATTTACCTACTGCAATGTATATTTGTACATTGTTTATATTTGGAGGTCATTGTCCCCATTTGTTTCACAGTCGTTTATTGTCTTATTCTTTAAGTTAGATAGATATTGAGAATTATATAGACTAATTGTCATCTAAGTTTGTCATTTATAATTAAACTAATCAGGTTCTTTAGATATATAGAGATTATACTCAGTATAGATAGATAATCTTCAACCTCTTCAAAGAGCTGTAGAAAATGGCCTTTAATCTAACTCAGAGTTTCGTGATAGTGAGACACAATTGCTCCTGGCAACACCGCTCTATTCCCGAGAAAATGTTGAGCACCAAAAACACTCCACCTGGAGCCTTTCTATTTGGCAGAACTGGCCTTTGGGCAAAGAAATGCCCATACCTCAACCACTGACACAGACACAGAGCGTGCATCAATGGATAAAACAGGACTGTCATATCCTGCCAAGACAGGGTAAGATAGTTTTGAAAAGTTCCTTGCCTTTAATAATGGTATGTCAGTTATGTTAGGCCTTAGCCAAAATTGGTTGACTCAATGTTGCAAACGAGACTTTGGGTGATTGCCCAGGTAGTCAGTTGTCTCTGTCAATTGTTGCACATTTTGGATATATCTCGTTTGTTGAGTAGTGTTTATTCCCTTCTCAGATCTTTGACTGAGTTGAAGATTATATAATTGTAGTTACTCTTTACATTATTTGGACTTCTTGAGATAGAATGTTTAGCAAAGCTTTTGTTCTCAATATTGTTTGTTGTATTTATTATTTGTTGTTATTGTATGTAGTTGTATTTGGTTTAGTTCTGTCTTATTTAGACAAAAAGGGGAGATGTAGGGATAAGTCCCGCCCCTTAAGGGGCGTGTTCGCCTCGGGCTAACGTCTGCCTATAAATTTGGCGAGCAAGCTCCGAGCTCTCGCTTCTGCTTTCCTGGTCTCCGCGGGAACGGTGGTTCTGTAAGTCTATTTCTACATTAAAGCTATATATATATTTTTACACTCTGTCTGCATTCGTTTACGCCGCTACAAATAAATGTACCTAATTCATAGTCTTTGATTATCAAAAAAAGCAGCTTACTTTTATTAAAATACAATTTCTACCCAACTCATGGGGAAACTCCTTCTACATAAAGATGAAAACACAGCCCAAAAGTTCATGTTCCCTAAAAGAGTCCACTTGTATTCAAGGAACTTAACAAAAGCCTATAGGTAAGAGTTGGTAGACAAATTTGGGCTCCCCATGTAGCATAGCATCCCTACCAGAGTTCTCTATCCAAAACCTACAAATATGTTACATATATAACAAGAAAGAATTAAGATGAATGTGGAATTAAGGTCATTATCAACTGATTTTGAGATAGGAAGAACATCCACTCCCCAGGTGGGCACAACACAGCAACAACACGCAAGGAAGGCAGGAGGAAGTGGCAAGAGACATACAAATGTGAAAGATACTAGACTAGCCATTACTGAGCTGGAGGGTAGACAGCAGCTAGGAGCCCATGAATCTAGGAAGCCCTTCAAAGTTGAAAACAAAAACAAAAACAAAAAAACCCAAGGAAACCTCCAAAGAAGGTAGGCCAAGCTAGACACCTTGAATTTAGCCTGATGACATCCAATTTATGCTTCTGCCCCAAGAATTATAAAACAATGAATTTGTCCTTTAAGTTGATAGTGGCAGCAACGATAAGAAACTATTCTCTTCAGTACCCTTTTCCTTATGGAATGGTTAGAGACAAGTTGTTCAATGTGTACGTCTGAGGTAGAGGGTAAGGAACAGGCAAAAGTCAAGATTTATCTGACGGAAACTGCCTATGTAAATTTCCAAAGGCAGAAGCAATTGACTGTGAGGAAATCTTGGAAATTATCCATTCTTGTGTGTAAGCACATATTCTTTCTTTTTATGGATGGTTTAGGGCATTCAGACTCTCAAAAAGATCCCAGAGCAAGAGTAAAACCCTTCACAGGCATATCCCCCGCCCCAACCCTGCACAACTCTAAGCTTTTAACATTCCATGATGTTTTGAGGCAGGGAGTCTCAAAAGTGAGGTCCATCAAAACTCACAGAGAATGGAAGGAGCAGATCCCTAACACCACCTGAGTGTGTGTTCCAGTTACATGTAGGAAGGTTCAATTCTAAAAAAATGAATGAATGAGGACGGGACAGAGAAACTATGACACCTTATATTGTTAAAGACCATTATTGAGGGACCATTTATTAAACATACCAAAAATGACTTAAATTGTCCCCATTACCCACTCTTTAGGAACCCCCAAAGCACCCATTTTACTGTATAAGCTGTGTTTTGGTTTGGTTTGGTTTCTGGGCCTCGGACAGCTTAGAAAGTATGGGCAATGCCTATTGCACCAGAGGGTGTTAAGAATGATGACTTAAATGTCTAATGGTTTCTAAAATTGTCTTCTCTGCCCCCATCCTAAACCCCGACCCACACTAACACAGGTAAGAAAGGCTTGCCATTTTATACACTGTATGTTAAATAACGGAAGGACAGTGGGTATATCTCTAAGTACAATATCATTACTTCGGAGCAATTTTGTATAAGAGGCTGTATGAATCACATGCTACATGTTTTATTTGAAACATTCTGGTCATGTCTGTGATTTCGTATTCATTAATTAAGTCTTGTATGTTGCAAAGGAGCCATTAAGTGGAGTTAAGACTTAAGGTTTCCCAATAAGAACAGGCCCTTTGAATGAAATAAGGATGGGTCAGAGTATACAGGCGGCTTTATTACGTTAGAGATGAATGATAAAACTAAAGAAAACTGACATATAATTGAAAAGGGTCTAAAATAGGGGGATTTAAAACAGACACCCACCCCCCAACATCGAAATAACCCAAATTCCAAACCAAGGTCATAGAGAAGCCATATAACCCAGGAGACCAGGGATCGAGTCAAATTCTCCCAAGTCTGAAGAGGTCCTTTGTCGCAAGCCACAGGCTAAGTCAGAAGACCCGTTCCTGGAAGAGACTGAAAGAGAACCGGGAGTCTGGCACCTACCCTCCGAAAAGCGGGTCCCCAAACAAGAACGCCCCGATCCAGGCCCATTGCTCAGCTAAAGAGCGAGCGACAGCCACTCACCCTGCAGCAGCTGAGTGCCATGAAACCACCTCCAGCTCGCTCCGCGGCCGACCGGCCACGCAGCAGCACCCTGAGCCAGGCCCAGGCTTCGACGGCTGCCGAAGCCCAGGAGGTAGCGTAGCAGAGGCAGGTCATAGCGAAGCCTCCAGGAGGCCGCCATCTTCCCGGCCTTCTCCGGGACTGCTCGCAGCGCGGACAGATCGACCCTGTCCTGCCCAGGCCCCGCCTTGCAGGGGCTAGCCCCGCCCACAATGCACGCTCCGCACCTTCAGACTCGTGGACCAACCCTCCTAGCACCGCCTCCAGTCTTCCTGGGCACGCCCACCAGCCGGTCTGCGCCGGCGCAGGCTCTCCCATTGGGCGATGCTCTCTCAGATCCCGCCTCCCGCCTCTCGCCCTTGCTCCGCCCCCAGGCTGCCAGTTCCGCCGCGGCACAGCGTTCTTACGGTTCGCTTAGGCCTGGAAAGAGCGCGCAGCGGATTATCTAGCGCAGGTCGCAACCATGTCTGGCTGTCACGCTCAGGGAGACTGTTGCTCGCGGCCGTGCAGCGTGCAGGTAAGGACAGCGGTCTACGGCACGCGGGGTGGGGCCTCGGTCGGAGCCGATGCCCTATCCCTAGCCCAGTCCGCGCCAGTCCGAGGTCTCTCCTAACTCCTAGTGGGGCTGCTCAACCCGGTGCTGACCTGGCGCCTGGAAGACAGCACCCTTTTGAGTAGCCTGCCTTATTTGTGAGGTGGGAGATAGTGGAGATGATTCTTCTTTAAGGAAACCCTCGGGGTGCATGCGTTTTTCTTTCAGTTAAACACACCACAGTCTTATTGGAATACCTTCTACGTGCTAAGAAAATGGTGAACAAGAGAACTAGAAAAACAAAGTTTCGATACTATGTGATAAATCTTGCAGAAGACTCAAGGGAAGTCCACAAAATTATCCTCTTTTATTAGCCTTGTTTAGGGTCAAAGTTCTCAAAAATAAAACCCAGGAAAATTTTAGTGCAAAAGCATTTGTCAACCATTATTGTTCTTGAATAAATGGCTTTCCCTAAATTCATAAAGAAAGCTTTGAAGTTAGGTAAGATTGAGAGGGAGATTTTGCACGTAGGACACATGTCATTGGTGCCATCCCTAGCAGGTGTGTGAGGAAAATGAAAGCAGTATATCAGAATCATTGCTAGGATGTCTTGAGAGCAGAAGTGTTTATGACCCAGATTTTGAGGAAATCCGAATGAAAACTCTTAAGGCCACCTTGACTGGACAGCCTATCGCATGTCTAGCTTTTTCATGCTGTATGGAGGTATGGACTCATTGTTAAATTCTGATTTTTTTTTGAGGGAAAATAGGAAGTCACATTTTGTGTGAATTTGTCTTGATTTTAAAAATATTGGCTTGGGTTCTAAGTACTCTACAGATCAAATTAACACACGGTAAATCTGATTGGTCTGTGCCCTAGTTAGGGATACTATCGCTGTGGTGAAACACCATGACCAAAGCATCTTGGGAAGGAAAGGGTTTATTTGGTATCCACTTCATATCATCCACTGTTCATCATCGGAGAAAGTCAGGACAGGAACTCTTAACAGGGCAGGAACCCAGAGGCAGAAGTTGATGCAGAGGCCACAGAGGGGTGCTGCTTATTGGCTTGCTCCTCATGACTTGCTCAGCCTGCTTTCTTATGGAATCCAGGACCGTCAGTTGAAGGCTGGCACCATCCACAATGCGCTGAGCCCTCTCCCATCGAACGCTAAGAAAATGCCCAATGACTTGCCTACAACCTGATCTTATGGAGACATTTTCTCAATAGAGGGTCCCTCCTCTCAGATGACTATAACTTGTGTCAAGCTGACATCAAACTAGCCAGCGCAGACACCTAACTACTTTTTCTCTTGGTTAATTTATGTATCTTTTTAAGACTTGTCCATGTGTTAGCTGCTTGGAAGTCTTCACCAACAGGGCATCAAACAAGCCAGCAAAGTCCACAAGATACAAGTTTGAACCCTCCGATACAAGGCTTTTTTTAATGTAAGAAATGTGATCTTAGTTCATCCAGTGTTTATTGAGCAAAACACTGTAGCAGTTAGAGCTTACCAAGAATGGGTTTCTTCCGCTTACTTAGAAAGCCAAGCTGGGGAGAAAACTCAGGAAGACGTCACTTTTATTTGTTTTATTTTGCCTTACCTATCATGGTGTTGTGTATAGTGACTGCGAGGTTCAATTTCATTGGCTCTGACCCAGATCGTCCTTTTGTGTCAGAGATTATCAGGAAGATTATTGACAAGACACAGCACAGTCTCTTGGGACAGAAGTCAGTCCCAAGAGACACAGCAGGGTTCTCACTCCTACAGGGTTCTGAAAAAGAGAAGGCCCATGGAGCTAATGAGTAGTGGTATTTACAGTCAGTTTGCTCGGATTTCCTGAACTGAGGAAAGCAAAAACGCTGGGCCCTTTATGACTTCAGAGTCACAGCAGAGAGCTTGTCATCTCACTAAGGCTGTGAGAACGACGCTCGCGCTAGGGTGGAGGTGGAGGCAGCTGCAGGTGGGCATGACTTAGATCTAGCAGTGATCCTGGTTGTTCTGCACTAACGCTACAACCGAAGGCCATCTAATCCCTGCCTCGTGTTTTCCCTGCTCTCGGCATCCTGCCCACCTTCACCTCCCTGCACTTAGCCTACCTCCTGACTATATCCACCCCGGCCCATCCCTGTCTGTTCATCACACAGTTTTCTTTCTCATACCTATTGCTGCCCTTGTACCCGAGTATCCTTTACACTATATGGCAATTAGTGTCTTTTCTTGAATCTCTCTTCCCCAAGCTGCTGAGAACCCACAACAAGAGTCAAGGAGAGGTCAGCCCAATGGATCAGTGAATCTGTGTGCTGTCCCTCCGGGGAGCTGCCTCTCATGCTGCTTTAGGCGGTTATTCCAAAGCCTTACCATCTCTCTTCATCTCATGCCCCAAGCGTGTTGCCCCTGAAAGCGCAATGACAGGAAAAACTGTTACATGTAAACTTTTCGACTTCAGTTTCTCCTTTTTTCCAACTACAGTGTAATCTAAAGTAAAGGAGTCAGGTCTGTTTCCATATTGCCCGGATTCAAATCTTGGCTCTGCCATTAGTATCTGGTAGTCTTAGACAAGCTCATCTTTTAGTGTAATAGGGTTAGTATAAGGATACAGTAGGCCATACAGCTTTAACAGTCACAGAACAAGCACCCAGCAAATGTTGGCAATTGTTGTTGTTAGCAGCATCTTCATTCTTTCGCTGGCTGAAGGCAATTACCTCCTTGTTCTTCCAATCTCATTTCCCTTTCCCACACAAGAGAGCCTGTCTATTAGATCATAGCTCTCTATGCCTTCCGTCTCTTCTTGTCCTCCAGCTCTGCCTCTTAGCAAATGCTATCATTTGAATGTTGAGTGTCCCCAAAGGTCTACACGGTAAAGGCTTATCCCCTAGGTTTGCACCATTTGGAGGTAGAAGCACCTGTACAGGTGGGGGCTAGCGAAAGATCCTTATGTCGTTGATCATGTGACCCCAAAGGGCATGGTATACCCTATGTACCTTCTTCTCTTTTCCCTCCTGGCCATCGGGTGAACCATTTCTGCCATCATGTACCCTTTGCCCTGTACTCCACCAAAGGCCTAAAAGTGATAGACCCAGCTAACCATGGATGGAGCCTATAAAACTGAGCCAAAATAAGCCTTTCCTCATGGTAGTAGCACAGGCATTTTGTTACAGTGTCTGAAAAATGAGTTCTAATACATATAAAAAGGGATTGTTTGTGTTGACTTTCCATCTGTTTCTTATCTAGGACTCCCTGCCATAGCAACATTACTGAAAGAGTCTGTAGATTTTATACCTGCAAATTTCATTTATTTCTAAATAAAGTGAGTGATCCTCACTTTGGTCTGGCTTCCAAATCCAATTCTTCAAAGTGCTTGTTACTGAGGGGACCTGTGAGATGACTCAGTGGGGAAAAGTGCCTGCTGCCAAACCTGACAATCTGAATTCTGTCCCCAGGACACACATGGTAAAGACAGAAAGAACTCCTACAAGTTATTCTCTGACCACACAGGTGTCATGCCCACATACATACATACACACACACACACACACACACACACATACACACAAATAATTAAAATAATTTTTTTTAAAACTGTTACTTAAGGTAATTAAGGCTGACTTAACTTACTGACACCCTTGGTGCCCCCTCAAGGAGCTAAATGTTGTTAGGGAATATGCTCCAACTATGCTCATTAATCTCACTTCATCCTGGTTATTTTACCCTCCAAAGGGTCGTCAACACTGCCAGCAGCACTGCCCAGCAGTCCCCAGTCTCTAGTGTCCCCCTCCCCACAAAGGCTACTTTGTACCTTTATGTACATTGACTGTATGATACTCGTGGGCTCGCCACACTGCCCTTCAGTATCTTTTCTCCGCTATCATAGTCAGGTGTGTGAACACTGGATATGAGGGCTGGGAGGTGGCTCAGCGGGCTCCGTAGACACTGAAGCATGCTGACCTGATTTGGATCCTCGGCAAACATGTAGAAGCTGCACGCAGTTGCACGCTCCTGTAACGCCAGCCCTGGAATGGATGAAGGTGAGAGGGCTTTCAGGACCTGGTGGCCAGCTAGGCTAGCTGAAACAGTAGGTTCAGAGAGACCTTGTCTCAAAAATAATTGGGGAGATGACTCAGTGGTTAACAGCATTGGCTGCTTTTCCAGAGGTCAAATGGTGACTCACAACTGTCTGTAACTCTAGTTCCAGAGAATCCATACCCCCTCTTCTGGCTTTGTGGGCACCAGACGTGCAAGTAGTGCACGGACATATATGCAGACAAAACACACACACACACACACATTATATTTTCAAAGTTTTGAAGAGGCAGATACTCCCCGACTCCCCACCTTCATCCGTAAGACCTAATTTGTAGCCCGTTCCATCTTCTGAGTCCTCCACTGTCCACCTGTGTAACATTCTTACCACCCGTGAGCTCAAGACCCCTTCCTAATTCCTTTCCTCCCTATCTATAGCTTCTGCTCCCATTGTGCTCCACCCATTTTGTATTATACATTATCATCTCATAACTGAGAAGTTTATAGATTAAGCTCCTCAGAGTGGGTCTTATGTATATTTCCCTTGTCAGGGCCTATCATGTGCGTAGCACTCAGGCTTGGTTGGCTGAAGGAGTGAGGTAAATAATAAATGACAGGAAACAAGTGCGAAGAGCAAATGCCGTCGCACAGAATTGGAGCGGGGGGGGGGGGTGGAGGGGGCAGCTGCATCTTGCTTGAGAAAAAACTAACCAGGGTTCGAGAGAATTGCAACAACTTGGGATCCAGCATGAGCAGCAACAGTATAAAGAAAACTGTATTCTTGCCGGGGAGGAAGACATAACTTAGTTACTTATTGCTATATGCAAACCATCCCAAAATTCAGCAGCTGGAAACAGCACTCATTGTATCCTATAGATGCTCAGGGTTAGGAATCTAGGAGCAACCCGGCTATGTTCTGGATCAAGACCTCATGAGGGAGCATTCAGGCTGTTGTCTGAGCAATAGTCACATCAAGGATGGACCACACAAGGAAGATCTGCTCCCCAAAGTACCTTCTGCAGGCTGTGGTGGCCTTCTGCATGGGCTGGTTCCACAAAGAACCAGTGGTCCCAGAGAGAGATTCCAGGATCCAACACTGACCCTCACATCTTACAGCCTCATCTGCGAAGTAACACAGTAGCCATCTGCGAAGTAACACAGTAGCCACTTCTGCCATGGGCTGTTAGAGCATGGGCCAACCCTGGCACCATGAGGGCAGACCGTCAGCGTGACCGCCAGGGTTCAGTGATCCCTAAGAGCCACCTTGTAATTGATTCAGTAAGGAGTTTGACTAGAACTGAGGGATTTACATAAAACATGACTGAAATACTTGAAAAATAAATTAGAACATAAAGGACGTAACAGATCAAGGAAATGGTATTTGAGCACTTGTTGATTTGAGGGTCCAAATTCATGATCAAAGTACTGTGTTAGTTCAGTACTCAAGGTAGAATGGAGGATGAACTGGAGGAGAAGAAAAAGCAGGCAAGGAGATCAAACAGGGAAAGTGTAACTTCTACTCAAAAGGTCAGTCCTGGGAAGAAGGTATTGGCATTACAAAGTGAGAGCAATGGAAATATCAATTTCTGCAAATTCATTGCATTCACGTTAAAAGATTACCCTTTACTCTGACGTTATTTTCCTATGTTTAAAATCCACTCTTTTCTGAAAATAGTAATAGTGGAGAGTTAAATATAATTAGTGTCATTAGTTGGCAACCACATGTCATTCCTGAAAATTAATAAAACTACCTACCCATGGGCCTGTGAACTGAGTCAGTGGGTAAAGCAATTGCTGCATAAGCCATTGACCTGAGTTCATTCTCCAGAGCCCACATAGAGGTAGAAGGAGAGAGCTGACTGCATGAAGTGGTGCTTTGACCTCAGCATGTGCACCCTCACCCCCAACTAAAAACAAAAAACTGGTGTTGTATTGGGGTCCCACATTGGGGTGACATCTGTCAGGTCCAGTCTCAATCGGTTCATAGGTTCCAGGATAGGGGCATATGGATTAGAAATATCAGGCAGACAAAACAGATATAAAAGAACTAGAGACACAGATTACAGTTGGGAGGGCAACCCAGTGAATACTGAATTCACCCACATCTATTTCTCATATGCTTTTATACCCCAAAAGGTAGGCTATACACAGACACACACACACACACACACACACACACACACACACCAAAAAGCGGGGGAGGAAGGCAAAAGACTGCTTTACCATGATATAAAGAACAAACAGCAATTACCTCTTCAGTACCTGAAACATCAAGCAACAACACCTTGAGCACACCTTAGGCCAAGCATCCTGTAGGCCATCACTCCCTGGGACAAACCTGCTGTCATGTCCTTGAAGGAGCAGGAATTGGCCTGAACTCTCTGACCTTTGGTCAAGGTGGACCAGATCCACCTCTGTGGGCCATCTTAATACCCAAAACACCTAGGTCAAGATATCTTGTTAGTAGCCATACGTTAAGTCAAACCTCTTGTCTATAACCTTGAGCAGGAATAGGCCAGAGCTCTCTGACCCCCTTCTGTGGGCTCCCACAGTGTTGAAATTCAGAAGTCTGGGGAAATCACTGAGCCCTGCAAGGAAACCAAGCCCAAGCCCCTGAAAGTATCCCTGGACCACAGTGGGGGCCCTGCTTATGCTAATAAACATATGCTTTGAGTGCCCCCCCCCCACCTGACAGTTTGTGTTTGTGTCAGAGTCTCCCAGGAATCCCTGGGTCCAGGTGCGTGCTGGTTTTCAAATAAAAGGAGCGAGGAGAGGAAATAAATGGAGCCCTGTTGGGCATAAGTAGGTATGTCTGTGACAGGCGAGGCTGGGAGGCCTTCAAAGTGGAGCGAAAGCTCTTTATACTCTAATGTTTGTAATATAGTCTGTGTCTGCCACACCAGAGCTGTGCTTCTGCTAACAGCCCATTGCGGAAAGTCTTTAGCTTCATGGCATGTAGTTATTATGTTCACTGAAAGCCAGCTCCGGCGACAGCTGACAGGTACTGCTGGCCTCCAGGGGAGCAGCGGACAGCAGCTAAGCCTTCCCTTCTTGCCAGTTTGAAGACAGCTTTTCCATTTTCACCCTCTCGGGCTGCACAGCTTGAGTGGCTGCATCTTCCACAGATGTGTCCTTGCCAGGTCTCCATGGCGTCCCCGGAATTGTATCTGCTGCTCTGAATGACTAAAGGAGACGCAGCGACCAGCGACTGTGCTGCCCTGTCAGTGTTAGGCTGTAGCAGGAGGCTGGCTAATTGCTCCAATACTTCAGAACTGGGGAAAGACAAAAGGAAAGGGGGATGTATAATAATAGACCATTTTCTGTAATGTTTGCAATTTGTTGCGCAAATTTGGTCTTAATGATTGGAACACTGCAGGAGTCTTCCCATTAGCTGTATTTAATATGTAATTAAAATATCATTTATATTCTCCAAGAAAAGGAAACAGCAAATTATATGGGGCATAGAAATTTTTGGCTAGTTTCCTTGAGAAAAGTTAAGAATTCCATTTTATTATTAACTTTAAGTAATTAATTTGTGTTCAAGAACTTTAACTCTTTAAAACAGAAGGAAGCGAGTATTGTACCACACGGTTTGTACCAAGTGTTTTTACTGTAGAGATTTTAAATTGTATGTTTAAACATCTGTGTATATGTGTATAGCTCCATGTTATATGTACAGAGGAGTGCAGTTCCCAAGGACTCCAGCAGAGGGTGTTGACTCCTCTGGAACTGGAGTAAGGAGTGATTGTGAGCCTCCTGACATGGGTGCTAGGAACTAAACTCCCACCCTCTGCAAGGGGATATAGAACTTAACCTCTAAACCATCTGTCCAGCCCCAATTTTTGTTATTTTAAAGTGTGTGTGTGTGTGTGTGTGTGTGTGTGTGTGTGTGTGTGTGTGTAGGTAGGTAGGTAGGTAGGTAGGTAGGTAGGTAGGTAGATGTACATGCAGGTGCATAAGAAGGCCAGAGGCTTCAGTACCCCTGGAGCTGTAGTTAGATGGAGTGTGAGCCATTTGATATGAGTGCTGAGAACTGAACTCTGGTCTTCTGCAAGTGCAATACGTGCTCTTAACTGCTGAGCCATCTCTTCAGCTTTGTGCTGTGTGTTTTATCTTCATTTTATCTCATTTTATTCCTCAACGTGTTCTCATTTAATGGTTGAGTAAAAGAGAGGCTCGGTGTCTTAGTTAAGGTTTCTATTTCTATTGCTATGACAAAACACTGGGGAAAGGCGCCATGGGGAGGAAAGGATTTATTTCACCTTACATCTTGGAGTCCATCATCCAGAGAAGTTAGGGCAAGAGCTGAAGCAGAGACTGTGGAGGAGTGCTGCTTCCTGGTTTGGTCCTCATAGTTCATACAACCCAGAACCACCAGTGCATGGCAGCACTGTTCACAGCGAGCTGCGCCCACATCAGTTATCAGTAAGAAAAGACGCCACATTGTTGCCCACAGACCAGTCTGGTTGGGACATTTTCTCAATTGAGGTTCCCTCTTCCTAGATGACTCTAGCCTGTGTGAAGTTGACATAAAAACTAGCCAGCACACTCAACATCATGCAAACAGAGAATTAGATATAATGTAGTTTTTAAGTCCTGCTCACTCTTAATCCTGTGTTGGTTTGAGCTTTACAAAATGTCTAACTTTCTCCCATGCTTTCAGTTTTGTATTGTGAAGGCTCCTTTATCAGCAGTCACTCAGAATACTTGCCTAAAACTGTGTACGTGGAGAGAGGGGGAGAGGGAGTGAGAATCAAGAACATTTGGAAAGCACAGTTTCAGCTACCTGAGCATCCAGTCTATTGAAATCATGATTTTCTTCTGACTTCAGGAATGATTTTGCGCCTTTACGCGGGGCCCAGGGTAGCAGTCCAGTGATTTTCTCTGCATAGCAAGGGTTTCTTGTTTGCCTTTCCTTGAAAATGCAGCCCACTGAGTCCTGAATTTATATGGGGCTTTTCTGTGTGATGCAAGTCTGGACTTTATCTCGAATTTCTAATGCTTGTCCAGCTCTCAGAATGGAGGCTCGGGGTCCCCAGAGTTTTTCAGGTGCCTTGAAGGGACAATCCTGGCCTTGGGGTTCCCTGATCTCAAGATGTCCCACTCTCATTTCCTTTACGACCCTGTGAAATCTTCCCACTTCAACAGTGTATTTTGAAATATTTGTAAAGGTCACTTAATCAGCAGCTGTTACTTATTTTCACGGTAATGCTATATGTCATACTGCCAAAATGGAGTTCATTGCATTTCTCTTTGTTTATGTTTTCATGAATTTAAACTATTAAAACAAAACAGGGGGAAACAAATGACATGGTTTTCTTAGCAGGTAATTATTGGAGTGACACGTATAAATGAGGCTTGATGATCACCTCAGCCTTTATTTATGTGCGCCTTTAAACAAAATGCCTTCCCAGGAAAGAATCATGGTTGCTTTTCAGTAGGATTTGCTTATTGCTGTTTGCTTGGTTTTAATTTTAATAGTGAGTGTTTATTATAATTGTAATAAAAGAAGATATTGAAATCACTTTGGAAAACCAAACATATTTAATATAAAAATGAAACTGAACCAGCATAGACTGTTTGGACAGATAACAACCGTGATGTCTTGTGTATGGTGTTCTAGTGGGGTGTTTTGTGTGAATAACTTTCCTGTGTGGCACTAGGTCCCACTGTCTTTCTGTTGACACTGTGTCATAGACCCCTGGCACTTCCCTGCCTTGTCCTCACAGCCTGTTCCATAGAGTTTGACTTAGGCCCCTATACTGACCAGTCCCAGATTGTCAAATAACTAAGTAAATCCATTTTCTGAATGTTAGGGACAGAACGTGTTTGTTTCCTTAACTATCTCTTAGGTAGATTTCTTTGAACGTCCTTAAGTTGGTTTTGCGTTAGAAATGCCAGCTGGAACACACAATTTAAAAAGTCGTTGTCTTCTGTTTAAGGACAAGGAACACCCCAGATTCCTGATCCCAGAACTCTGCAAACAGTTTTACCATCTGGGCTGGGTCACCGGCACCGGAGGAGGAATTAGCTTGAAGCATGGGTGAGTTTCTGGTTGATTTCAGCTCTGGAGTTCTCCAGCTCAGCACGCCATGGGTGGTGCGTCCAAACCCAGCGGATAGTCAGTTTATGTGATACTGAAGCTGTTTACTTTCTAAATGATCGGGGGTGTTTGCATGACCCAACGGAACCAGGAGCAGGAGCAACAAGCACTTAAAACACCGAAGGCCTTTGGATCCCAGTTGTTAATCGGGATAATTTGAGTCTCTCTTTGGAACAGTAAAGGAGGAACAGTCCAGCAAGTATGTTCATGTATCTTCACAGGATCCTCTCTAGACAGCCGAAGATTTATTTCAAAAGTTCAGAGACATATTTTGAAGTCACTTAAATCCAGATTATTAATCATTGAAAATTGAAAAATCCATGTTTTCTGAGTTCAGAAACAGGCCATGTACTATTGTAAGCAGAGATATAATGATTAATGGGCATAGCATCTGCTGATATCTATCCCTCTGAGGCACTGGATTTAATCAGAATGAAAGAATCATTTTCTATTGCTCATTGGATTCAGAGAATGTCTCGTCTTCGAACAGATGAGGAATAAGCCCTGGCAATGACTCTCCAGGTGACACCTCATTCCCCCGAGACTTTCTGAAGGAGAATTAATGTTTTCTCCTGAAATGTTGTATGAATATTGCTCTCTGGAGGCTGAATGTTAACCTGAGTGAGGGCGCTTTATTTCTGTATTCCAATTCACCTTTTCTCTTTAGCAAAATTGGGTTATTAAAACATTTGTATGTTGAGTATATATGTACATGATATATGTGTATATACATGTACATATGTATGTGCATATATGTGTGTATACATATATATGTATATATCCATTTCAAGGAGTCTGCATTTCATAATAGTAAATGGATTATAAAATAAAATCAGGACATTTTAAACAGGAGGAATTTTACTACATCTCACAAGATGATGATTTTATAATTTCATCTGCTTCAAATTACAGTGTAATTCATGAAACAGTTCAATAATGGGAAGTAGCAAAAGGTACCTTAGTCGGCAGCTGTGTAGGAATATAAGGGTCAGTGTATAGACACAGCCTGTTCCCTGGTGGGCCCACACGTCCATCTGTGCCCCTCACCATCAGTCACCCAGCTGCTGGTGTGTCACTTCAGCTCTGAGCAGGCGTTCAGATTGCTTTGCCTAAATCTTCAAGTTGTCTTGTTCACAATATACCCGGAACTATTAATAATTTGTTCTTGTTTCACTTTTCTATTTAAAAGTCAAGTGCCTGTAATTAATTTCCCTGATGTATAATTTATAATAAATTGCGTTCTAAATGTATTTAGTTAACTGCTGTTTATTTTCATGTCCAGAGAATGGTTTTTTACATAATAGGGCTCCTACCAAACTGAGCTAAAAGGGTCATTTCTGGATATAGATGTTAAAACAAGTAGAATGAAAACTCAAAATTTCGAGAATTTTTTAAAGCAAGGAATTGTAAAGGACCCCTCTCTCTGAAAGAACTTTACTGTTCCACACGCTGATTGTGTGTGGCCAACATAAACCGTTTATTGGCACATCTCTTAATATGCAATGACTTTTATAGCACTACAATCAATTTATAGGAAAGTTGCATCATGTGTAGTTTTTCCTTAGTTTTAATGGGCAAGGAGCTCCCCCTAGAGGCCACAAGTGGGAAGAAGCAAAGTTTTAAGGAGAACTGTTTGGCTTCCCGTTTATGCTTTACAGACTAAAATGGGTGTTTTTAGTAAAATGTTGAATATCACCCCTTTATGAGCCAACATTACTCATCTTAGTGTTTCTGGTAATAGTTTTGTCTTTTATATCTGACTCTTGGTGCAAATAAATTTGAAAAGACATATAAATATAGTAGATAATGTCCTAACATCATACAGACAGTAAAGTCTTGGGGAATGCATAAATACTAACAGATTTCAAGGTTTGGCTGATACCACTCTGGCTTACATGACTGGTGTATGGTACCAGGATTATACACGCATGTATACACATACATGTGTGCATGCATATATATGACAGCAAGGACACGCATAGGGATTGAAAGTAAGGACACACATAGGAGTCATCAGAGCAGTTCCACAACACTTAGCAACCATTGCCTTTGGCTTGGTCATGATGTTTAGATTTATCATTTGCTGTTTTCATCAGTATGTGCCAGCTACACTAAGCTTGTTGCATGCTTCTGGAATCACATTTGATAAACTCCTACTATAGATGAGCTGTTGAGACCTTGCATTTCAGTGATCTTTAATGACCAGAGCCTAAGTACAAATAGACACACCTGCACACAGATGTTTTTCTGTCCTCTTATTTACCACAGAGTGAAAGAGCAGGGAGTGCAGAGAAATAAACTCTAGAATGCATTCCCTGGAACTTCCAGGTTCTTTTTATAGAATCAAGCAAGCATTTTCCTTCAAGCTTTTGTATGTTATCTAAAACAAAAGCTGTTACTTTGTATGTTTCCTGTATTTCTCTTTCTGTGTTGGAATTGCTATGTTAAAAATCTTACTTAGCTTATCTTTGAATTGCTCAAAGTTGATGAAATTCTTAATTTTCATTTATAAAGACAGCAGTACAAAGAGACTTAACACAGCTCGAACCTCTTTTCTGACCACAAGGGTGGCGAGCGGATCTCTGGGACCTTTGGCTCTGGAGGAAGGGCTGCCACACCGTTGTCCCATGCAGCAGATGCTGAGCACGGCAGCTGCTTCCTGGATTCTTCTCACCTATCAGGCATCTGTCTAGGCCTTAGTTCACCAAGAAACCCTCCTTTCACTGATACGCCTGTCAGTTCCAAGTCTGTATTTTGTAGTAACCGCTTTGACAGCTTCATATAAGCCATCCTCACTGTCACTTTGAAGCCTTTGATATTTGTCCATTGTGCTTTTCTGCTTCCATGGCAAAAGCTGTTCTCTTGGTTTCCATTTTTGTGGTAGCTCGTTAATGTGCTCTGGCAACTGAAACTTATTAGTGGACGGTTCTTTAAGTGGAGGGAATGGGGAAGATTTGGGAATTATTTGCAAGTCAAATTTGACAGCACAGTAGAGGATCTTGTGGAAAAATGGTACAGCAGGTGTAGATCGATCTCTCTCTCTCTCTCTCTCTCTCTCTCTCTCTCTCTCTCTGTGTGTGTGTGTGTGTGTGTGTGTGTGTGTGTGCGCGTGCGTGTGCATGCGTATGTGCTTGTTTATTTTGTTTCAGATGTTTGCTGGTCTTGAGCTCATGGTCTTCCCTGCTCAGCCTCCTAAGTGCTGTGATTATAGGCATATGCAACCACACTCAATATCCTAATCTCATTTCTAACTTTTTGTGATTGCTTAATTGCTAAATAATTTCCAAGATTTGCATGCTTGTCTTAGAGGAAATTCCTCAGTTACCTAATGCTAATGCTGTAGTTAGCAAACTGTCCAGCAGAGGGCTCTGTCCTTCATGACTTCATGAAATGAATTTGAATTTCATTCTTTACAATGCAAAAATGTTTTCAATCAGACATATATTTTACCTGATTTTAGGTTAACTATATTTTACATAGTATACTGAAATTCTATTCATTCATGCCACAAGTAGCAAATAATTAACGTATTCAAATTTACATTTCCTCTAGATAGTGGTCTAGCTACCACTAAATTTTTTTGCCCCATGAAAAGAAATACATATATGTGAAAGAGGAAGACAAAAGCAACTACCACGAGTTTTCTTGGGCCACTAGTGTTTCAAAGTAGCCTAGAACTCATCCTGTGCACCCTAACTCCTTCACTCAACCAAGCAGCCACTCGGGGCTTGATGTGTAGAGGACATTAATGGTTATACTGCAGGGATGCACTTTATTTGTTCAAAACCAGAACTTTAAACAAAAACCAATTTCTATATTTTGTGTTACCAGCAATGAAATCTACATTGCTCCCTCGGGTGTGCAAAAGGAACGCATTCAGGTATGCTAAAGGGTCCTTTGTAAGCCCTCTGTCCCCTCTCCTTAACTGCCATTCCACGAAATGGAATCGCTTCTCAAGGTTATGTTAGTTTTGAAGGGCGGTTCTGTTGTGAAGATTTAAGTAACTAATCAACAAACATTTGCTAAGTAACTATTCAATATTTGCTAAGTAATTATGAAATGTTTCTTTAAGGCGGCAAGTATCTTCCACGTCTGCAGCGTGTGTTGTAAACTCTCGCGCGGCTGGAGAGACGGCTCACAGGTTGAGAGCACTCATTGCTTTTGCAGAGGACCTGGGTTTGCATCTCAGTTCTCACCCTCACGGTGGCTCACAACTGCCTGTAACTCCAGTTGTAGGGGATCTAAAGCCCCTCTTCTGACCTCGTCCAGCAGAGGGCTCTGTGCTTCATGACCGGGTATGCACATGGTATACATACATATATACTGGAAAACAAAAATAAATGAATTTCCAAAATCTCCTTCAGAGAGCTGTAGCAGGCAGCAGCGAGTAGTGCAGCCTCGGCGCACCTTTATCAGACTGGTGAGCCTCTTCTACTGATAGGCTCGGCTCACACAAACCGATTCCTATCTTAATCACAAAGCTATTCCAATTCAAAGTGGGGGAGTTTTGTTTCAAAATTTTGAGAAGTGGCATTCTATATCAATGCTAGAATATTTCCCCAAGTCTAACCAAATACATAAAACATTGATTATATATTTACAAGAAAAAAGAAAAGTTTCCCTCTTCGTGAAAGCTTATATTGTAGCCTGTGGTAAGCCTGGTATTCGGAAGATGCAAATCGGAAATATGCAGGCATCACTAAGAAACAGCTAGGTCAACACATTCCCGAAAACTTGAAGAGTAGCATCTTTTTAGTAAGTTTCTCGAGGGATAAGAAAGTTCTGACACCCACCTGGGCATGTTATATGGTTTCCCAAAAATGTAGTTGTGAAATGGCAGGCCTAAGTCTGAACTGACAACAACATCAGTATATACATAATTGCTTCTACTCCAATCTTATCCTTAAAGTTCTAAAAGAAAGTGATTTTTTTAACTCTCAAGAAAGTTTTTGATAATATAAAACTATTAATTGTATTAGTTTGTGTGTATCAGTATTTTGCCAGCATGTGTTTCTGTGCACCATGTGCATGCAGTTCCCTTGAAGGCCAGAAGAGGGCATCAGGTCCCCCAGGACTGGAGTTAGATGATTGAGAGCCGCCATGTGAGTGCTGGGTACCATACCCGGGTCCTCTAGAAGAATTGTCAGTGCTCTTAACCACCGAGCCGTCAGTCCAGTCCCAGTATGAAACTTGGACATTTTTTTCTTGGTACTAAAATTTTGGGGACTCCATGAATGTTTGGTTTGAATGTTAAACTTGTTTGCATATGCATATACTGTATAAATATACCCAGTAGAGACATTTTAATTGTTATTTCTTTAACCTTCTTTTCTTTTTCTCTCTCTGTAAATAGCCAGAAGATATGTTTGTTTGTGACATCAATGAACAGGACATAAGTGGACCTCCAGCATCTAAGATGCTCAGAAAAAGCCAGTGTACTCCTCTCTTCATGAACGCCTATACCATGAGAGGTAGGCTGGTATCCAGGCAGAGCTGGCCTCGAGCACGGCCATCATGACTTCAGTTAACAGCTCTCGAGGATCTAACATACAAGCATTTTGTTTCCCCTCGTTGCATTCTCATCAGCCTCTGAAGAAGGTCCGTTGTTGCTCCACTTCCTCTTAGCTCCTGTCAGCTTGACACAAGCTAGAGTCACCTGGGAAGAGGACCTTCAGCTCAGGAAGTGCCTCCGTCAGACTGGCCTGTAGGCAGGTCTGGAGGTGCATTTTCTTGGTTAATGGCTGATATGGGAGGGCACAGCCCACTGTGGATAGTGCCACTCCTGGGTAGGTGCTCCTAGAATGGATAAGGAAGTGGGCTAAGCAAGCCATGAGAGCCAGTCAAGCACACTCCTCCATGGCCTCTGCGTTAGTTCCAACCTCCAGGTGTCTGCCTTGAGTTCCTGCCCTTACTTCCCTCAGTAGGAAACTGTGACGCAGGACATGGAAGCCACATAAACTCTTTCCTTTCCCAGGCTGGCTTTGGCCAGCATTCTGTCACAGCCACAGAAGCTAACTAGGACCCCAGATTTTCCTCAGAAAAAGTCAGGTCCATAAGGAAACACATACATAAAGTGTATAGATATAGGTGTTGATTTTCTCTTAAAGACGTAAGTTCTCCTCACTGAGCAGCTGCCTCTTCATCCTGCAGGAGCAGGCGCAGTGATCCATACCCACTCTAAAGCTGCTGTCTTGGCCACCCTCCTGTTTCCAGGACAGGAGTTTAAAATTACACATCAAGAGATGATCAAAGGAATAAGGAAATGTACCTCAGGAGGGTATTACAGGTATAATTTTATTATTAAGTTATTTGGCATGCATTTTTCCTCCTCTTTTTATGCATCTAATGAGATGTGGTGGGCTCTGTGTTCGGTAATATTCCACGTGACAATGAACCTTCAAAGGCCTTCTCAGGGGCACAGACTGCTCCTACCCTCCCCAGCTGTGCAGAGTTATTAGCAACATGAATAATGAAATGTTTGCTCCATTAAAACGAACAGAAGTCTTGCCTGGACTTTCTGTCAAGATGGGTGAGAACAGCCCGTTTTCAGCGCTGAGGAAGCAAGATCTCCTCACCTCCACTTTGTCTTCAGGAAGCTGGAACTGAGACTACCATTAGAATTTATGTTGATGTAATGTATTTCTAGAATATGTTCCTGTTTATAAAAACTTTCTATTTGTTTTAATTAGAGAAATGACTGTATTTCAGAATTTGTGATGTGGTGACATAAAAGTGCACAGCAATGACCTCTAACTAAATTTAAATAAATCCACCAACCTGCAAAAGTGTCGCCATTATTTATGAATCTAGACTTGAATGGCTTGAAGACACAGGTTCCCAGTGTCCAGGGACAGGCTGAGCCTTGCTTCCTAGTCCGCGGGGCCTGGTTCCCCCTCCCTTCAGAGGACAGTGTTCCTGGTACTGAAGACACCACAGCGGTGTCTTCCTGTGACTGCAGTAAGGGAACACGGTGGATGTGTTTAAACCTCTGTGTTGAAAATTTAGCTCATTTGATTTCCTTGTTTAGTGTGAGCCTTAAAGCCTTGCTCAGCACTGCAAAAATTATGTCGAAAAGGTGTCAGTTAAAGCAGTGGAGTATGTGCGGGGCTCTCTCAAGGCCCTGGGTCAGGCCTCAGCAGCAGAGCTAAGCTAAACAAAGTCAGCACCAAACTTCCCTCATTACCAGGTGAGCTGACCATGCCTTACTGTGGCTGCCGTCAAGTAACATGCCTGTGCTGGAGTGCAGAGGATACCGACAGCCAATCAGAGGACTTCCATGCCTCTGTTTCGTATTTAACTTGTGAGCATCAGCATCCTGTCGATGAAATAAGGGATTGCTTTGAATTTGTTTTCTAGTCTCACTGTGCTTTGAAATTATTTTGTGCCTGGAAATATCTCTGACTGTGTGACGAATGCTATAGGAAAATCTAAGTCTGTCGCTCTTCAGGCTGGTTTCAGGGAAGAGGTGAGACCAGCTATTCACTCCGTCACACTACAGCATTGTATAATTACTTCTGTCTCAGCTACAGGCGGGTCGTGGGCAAGTCTATACTACTACGATAATGGCTGCCCAAATTATGAATCACCCGACAGCTGCTTAGTCTACGCCTGCCTGCAGGTGGTCGCTTCAGATGACACTTGGCATTTCCGTGTTCATTTTCTCACTGCTTTGGTGAAAGGCAGTGTGAGAAAGCCGTGTATAAGGGAACGCTTGTCTGAGGAGTCATTGGTTACAAGCGACCTCAAGACCTAGTTTCACTTGTAGCGAAGTTGCTTGATGATTGGACATTATTACGTTCTGACTTTATCTCATGAATTTACTGAGAAAAAAGTGAAAACAAAAGTTCTAATGCCTCAGGTTTGAGATTATTCTGAAAGCATTAACATAACCTTGGTAATTGTTGCTAGATGGTTCTTTCTATCCTGATGCCACAGACCACACCTGCATTGATTGGTTTGCCTGTCAAGACATTTTGGTATTCTGCCAAGATGAAATACAATGATTTTTATTTTGGGAAATATTCCTACTATGTAATATATAGTTTGAGATGTATCATTTTCTATCTTATGTTTAAAATGTTCTGATTATCTTTACTTCAAGGAAGTGCTTGTATGGTCTTGATTTCTTTGTTAGGTTCTGTTATACTGTACAAATTTCTGCCATTTAAATTCAGGGCTGCCTGGCATTTGGTATCTTTTGGTATAGATGTTTATATAAGATATACAGAATAACTTACACCATCTTGTTTTGAAGTTGGAGATGTTGGAGTGCTATATAGATATCAGCTGGTCACTAGCAGCAGAAAATACAAATAGAATATTGATATTTTAGTGGGAGTAGATGTCTTGTTCTGTCTTACAGGTATGATGACATATTAGTGGTACCCATTATTGAGAACACTCCTGAAGAGAAAGACCTCAAAGAACGAATGGCTCGTGCAATGGACGAGTACCCAGACTCCTGTGCGGTGCTCGTCAGGCGTCACGGGGTGTACGTGTGGGGAGAGACGTGGGAGAAAGCAAAAACCATGTAAGACTGAGTTAGAGATTTGGTGCAAATCACACTCAGAATGTGAAAATGAACTAACATGTTTTAGGATTTAAAACAAAATACAAGTTTTCCGTGTGTTTGTTAGTCGACTGGTTTCAACTTAAATAATCTGTCAGTGTTATTTGGAAAGACCTGATTTCTTACTCTGTTAAATCTTCAGGAAGTATTAATTAGGTCAGCTCTGATTTAGGAAGGCTCGGTGAAGTTTGCTCCAGAGGAAAAGAGTCATAGATCTTAAATAATATAAATTTTATTTAAGAAATATAGCACATAATAAAATAATAAAAACATAACTTCATGTGAGTCGTATATTTCCCGGGAAGTAAATGGTGTGGTGCCACAGCGCAGTGTGATTCCTTTGCAGGTCTGAAGTTTGTTGGGGTCAAAGTAGTAAACCTTTGGTATGAACTCAGTAGCAAACGTAGCCTCGTATCAAAGCTAATGTTGGGAGACATGGTAGTGAGGACCAGACACACGTTCAGGCCTCTTGCCTTCTCTTCTAGGTGCGAGTGTTATGACTACCTGTTTGACATTGCTGTCTCTATGAAGAAGATGGGAATGGATCCAACGCAGTTCCCAGTTGGAGAAAATGGAATTGTGTGAGCCAAGTCTAAGTATCTTCAAGGATAAAACAAACTTAATTACACCTTAAATAAAACTTGACTGCTTTTAAATGAGTTGGAAATTTTCTTGATTTCACTAATTTGTCACTGAATACAACAAGTCACACTTAATCCCCTTCACATTAAATATTTTCTTATATTCTTACAGCTTTAGGTGACAGAGAGGTGGAATAAACTTTTAACTTGGTATTTGCTTATTTCAAAGCATGTAAATTTGCATATAAAGACAAAATATTTCCTTTTAAGTTAATTCCTTTTGTATACATTCTTGGGATTTTTTTCATCTTTAAAACACTAATAATAGAATTCATTAAATATTTTCCACTTAATTGTGAAATGAACACTTTCTTATTTTAATTTGATACATAAAATTTATATCAACTATTAAGAGTAGTGTATTCTTTATACCTAATGTAAAGATAATTCTATAGATTTCCCTTATAAACTGTAGTACTTCTATATAAAGTCTAAGTGCATATAATCTAAAAGTCCAGAGTCCAAAATATTGCATGCAGACATGATGTCACAGACGGAATCCACATGTCACTTCATGTGGCAGGTCGTAGTGAAGTTAAAGATGCATTTAAAGCATTGTCTAAGTTATGTGAAACAAATGAAGTCTGTGTTTATCCTTGGTTTCCATCTCCAAGATAGCTCATTATATATATATACAAATATACGTAGATATCCGCAAATCCAAACATTGCTAGTCTCAAGCATAAAATGAGAGACCATCAACCTATGACTTAATATAGGGCACTTACTGTTTATTGCCATCAGTTGTAAGATCCAAATTAACTGACACCCAGTGCAGGGGTTCTAGTGGACTAGGTAAGTACTCTGCCGCTGAGGTACACCCCGGCCCTGCTTCTACTGAAAGAAAAATAGTCACTACCATCACCCTACTTCTTGAGGTTATTTACCCCAGATCATTCCCTTCATCCATTCATTCACCCTACCCAGACATCCAGACTCTGTCCCATTCTTCCTTTACATCTTTACTTTAAAAAAAAAAAAGGAGTGCATGGGCTAGTATTTTTACTACTTCAAGAGAACCAACCTCAATCAAATTCACCTGGGAATGACCTTAGCCATGGTTAAGCTACTTACATAACACCCGCACCTAAGCTGCAGGCCTGGTGGGGACAAATTAACAACCATGTTGAAGGATGTCATCTCCGAATTGTGACCACTGGATCCTAACAAACAGGCCACTTGCAAGTCGCTCAATCCTCATTTGTCAGATCCCCAACATTACCGCCTCTAACCTCACTCCAGAAGAGAGCAAATAGATTAATCCATGAGAGAAATACCCGATGATTCCACTTCACAAGCCAGTCAGCCTCTGTGACTGTAGGCATTTTTACCACTTCCTTCAACTGAGTGATCCAAGTCTCTTTTTCCCACTATGCCTTGGACCCCTCATTGTCATCCTCTGACCCTCTCATGGCCTTTGCTTTGCCAGGATGCTTAAAACGTGCTATGGAATAATGCTCTTGTACACTGTAAACATTTGATACTCATATTGGTTTAATAAAACACTGACAGGCCAGTAGCCAGGCAGGAAGTATAGGTGGGGCAGAGTAAGAGAATTTTGGGAAGAGGAAAAGGCAGAGACACGGTCACCAGCCAGATGCAGGGGAAGCGAAGTGAGAATGCCTTACTGGGAAAAGATACCAGGGTTTGTGGCTGAAACAGACAGGAATTATGGGTTAATTTAAGTTGTAAGAGCTAGTTAATAATAAGCCTGAGCTAATAGGGCAAACGGTTTATAATTAATATAAGCCTCTGTGTGTTTATTTGGAACTGAATGGCTGCAGGACTGCATGAGACAGAAACTTCCATGTACACATGCACCACATAGAGGCATGTGCTTGCTATCTTACCTTCAGCCCTCATCCAGCTCTAGCACCTACCCACTGTTCAGCCTTTTTTCTGTTCTCCCAGTTGAACCGGTCAGCACTGCCACCCTATTGAAACAGGTCTTACCAAGAATAGCCAGATCTTCCTGTATGCTCCCTCTCTGAATGCTGTTTTCCCTTCCATGCTGTAAATGGAACCAGTTTCTCCCTGAAGACACTTTCCCTTAGAGCTAAAGTGATGCTTCCTTCTGCTTTCTCTCTTCATTGGACCTGGGGATAGGATGAATGAATTCCTTGAATGTCAAATCTCTGTTTCTTTTCCTTGTTCCAACAAACTTTTGTAGGTTTTTTTTCTTTTTTTACTCTTTAGTGTAGATGGAAGTTTCTGTCCCACCTGCTCCCGCAACAATTCAGTCCCAAATAAACATACAGAGGCTTCTATTAATTTTAAACTGTTTGGCCTATTAGCTCAGGCTTATTATTATTAACTAGCTCTTACAAATTAAATTAACCCATAATTCTTACCTATGTTTAGCCACGTGGCTTGGTACCTTTTCTCAGTGAGGCATTCTCATCTTGCTTCCTCTGCATCTGGGTGACAACTATGTCTCTGTCTTTGCTCTTCCCAGAATTCTACTCTGGTTGCTCTGCCCATGCTTCCTACCTGGCTACTAATCAATCAGTGTTTTGTTAATCTAATACAAATGACAAATTTTTATAGTGTACAAAAGCATTATCCCATACTCTAGCTCTTTTGGGGGGCTTGCCCCCAGCTCCCAAATAAAGACACATAGAGTCTTTTTCTTTCTTTTGAATGCCCAGTCTTAGCTTGGCTTGTTTATGCCAGCTTTTCTTAAAACTTAAATTATCCCATCTATCTTTTACCTCTGGCCTTTTTCCTTTTCTTACTTCTGTATATCTTACTTTCACTCTGACTCTGACTGGCTTTGTGGCTGGGTAGCTGGCTTCTAGCATCCTCCTCTCCTTGTTCTCTTACTTCTTTTTCTCCTCCCAGATCTTCCTATTTATTCTCTTTGCCAGCCAGCTCTGCCTATTCTTCCTCCTGCCTTGCTATTGGCCAGTCAGCTCTTTACTATACCAATTAGGTGTTTTAGATATGCAAAATAACAGTTTCACAGAGTTAAACAAATTCAACATAAATGAATACAACACGTCTTTGCATCATTATACAAATGGTCCACAACATAAACAAATGTAACACATCTTAAAATAATAGTCCACGAAAAACATTCACAATCGTTCCAGTCATTCTTTGTGTGTGCATCTTGACAGAAGAAACACTGCTGTGCTACTGTCAAGTGGGTCTTGGGTGCTGTCAGGGAATTTTATTTTCATCCATTCATATCACCCCCTTCAAGGCAGCTGTTTCTTCTCAAAGCTCAAGTATTTCCCTGCATACTCTGACCTTGACTGCTAGTTCACTGAAAAGAATAGACGCCATCAAGAGAGAGCATCCATGGACTTTCCGCCCTTGCATGCTCCACACAGAACAAGTAAGCCGGCCCTGCTGCCCACGGAGACCAGATCTCCCACTGTTGTGTTCAAGGTCATCACTGGGTGATTTCCCATTGCCTGCATCATCAGTTTTGCTCTCTCTACTAATCTTTTACCTTCAGAACATGAGATAGCGTTATGGCTTATGAATATCTCATACCCTCCTGAGCTTGGGATACTGCCCTGTTCCTCTGCTTTTTGCTTTAGAATTTCTCAAAAAAAAAAAAAAAGTTGTGGTGCTATCACGGGTCAGTCCCTCTTCTCTCCCAGGCTTGAGTTTAGCTGGCTTTTGTCTATACCACTCAACTGGAAGTGCCATTACAACCTCCCATGGTGGTTATACAGCTACGTTTCCCATCAGTATTAGCTTTCTCAGCCCTTCATGTTGCTAGGCTCCTCACAGTGTCAGTTCCTCTTCAACTCTGTAATCTCAACTGGTCCACTGCATCATCCCTTGGACCACTTTTCTCAAAACTCACTGATCTCATGTATTTAAACACCAGTTGCACCCAGCAGATCATTTGTATCTTTAGCCATCTATTTTTCTTATCTCCAAACTCTTACCTGGCTAATGTCACCATCCATCCTGATGTATTCCAAACAATCCAAATTCCCTGAAGTTTCCCTCAGTTCCTTCCAGTTGCTCAGGCTGGCACCAATGATGGAATTACCAGTCTCACACAATGTCTAGCTAATAAGCACATCTCGCCAGCTTCAAATCTTTCACTACTTCACCCCTGGCTCAGCACCCACTGATTTTTGTTCTTTTTTTTTTTTTCTCAATGTACCGGAAATGTGCCCTAATAGATTTCCCTGCTTCAGCCCCTGTCCATCCCAAAAGTCTAATAATAATCAACACTAGCTCCTATCATCCTGCTGTCATGGAGGTCAGCTAGGGTCTCTGCTACAAACCCCATCATTGGCTTTCCAAGCATAGTTATTAGGGAACTTATGAATCAGCAGAATGTTTTATATGTTTTTACAAAGAAGCATGTTGGCCCCATGAACCTAACAGTTCCCCAAACTAGCTTCTTCAAGAGCTGTTTAGTAGAGATGTATTGGGTTTTCATTTATTATTCAACCACATGACTAATTTTAACCTGTTTAAGGTAACTAGCGGTATCTTACATCTGTATTTTTACATATATATTTTATGTGTATCGATTTCATATTTATTCATATTCCTTATACTTCACATTTATTTTTTGCAATAAAAGGTCCAGATCAAAGCCTTAATGACCATCTGTAAACTCATCTGTCTAATGTAACTGACCTAAAAATACCTCCAAAAGTGCACAGCAGCCAAGACAATGGCAATAGACACCTTCAGCTCTTAATGTTCTGGCCTAAGACTGGGTGGAAATGACATTGCTGTAAACCTGTTAAACCTACATCACCTTCCCCAAGAATCAAATTTGAAAGCAGATGCCAATAAATATTGAATAGATGACTCTTGGCCCTCCAGCAATATTAAAGAAGAAAGAATCAAATGAAATGTCAACCTCACCTGCTCCCATTTTTACTGTGAGAGAACTGAGCTTAGAAAAAAATGCATGTCATGTTAACTTTTATGTAGACAAAATGAAATAGTGCCGCTATAAATGAGGGCATAATTGCCCATTGTGGTTAATGGAATAGACTGGGAAATGTCTTTAATCCTTGGTTGGGACAGAATTAGGAGG